TGCCCTCCAACCCTTTCTGAGCAGCCTTTTAGGAGCTCTACTGCTATCTCTGGATCCCTTCAAACTATAGACTTCAAAAGTCAAATTTTTTTTTTTTTTGGTCTTTGGGTTTGAACTCAGGGCCTCACACTTGGTAGGCAGGTGCTCTACCACTTGATCCACCCCACCAGCCCTTTTCTGTGATGGGATTTTTTGAGATAGGGTCTCGAGAACTATTTTCCCAGGCTGGCTTTGATCTGTGATCCTCCTGATCTCTGCCTCCTAAGTAGCTGGGATTATAGGCGTGAGTCACCAGCGTGCACCTCAAAAGTCAATTTCTTTAACCTTTTCTGTCTTTAGAAAAGAAGCCATTTCTTTGACCCTGAGCCCAAATAAACAGTAAAAACTACCAGGCCATAATAGCAGTAGGTTCAAGAGGGAGTTGGAAGGCTCTGCCTTAAAATGGAATATTCAGGGTGTTAAAAAAACATAAATGGAATTGTTTGTTAGAGGAGGATATAAAGGTGAGATATGTCTCATCAAACATTTAGATGTAACTTAAATGTAACTCCTGGAGGGCCCTGGAGAGCAAGTGCACTTGGGCAGGTTTTAGGCAGTAGCTGGATGGTGCACAAAGTTTCATGATTATAGCTATTGTTTAAACAACCTCGCTTGCAACCCCCATGACAAAGGATAACGTTCTGTTCTCCTTTTTAATTGCTAAAAGGAAAACAAAACTGCCAGAAGTGGTCCTCGGACTGACTGTCCTTTTGGACTTGGCTACTTTTCAGTAAATACTGAAATGAAACTACAGATTTATGTAAATATTTCAAAAAAATTCCTCCTAGTTCCACAAGTCAGGCTTTTAATGTTAAAATTGTATTTCAAAGGAGCTGGATTACTAGGCCCAAGTATCCCAATTTGGGGTAACTGACAAGTCTTCACTCTTTTTATTTTTGGTGGGAAAGGGGTTTGAACTCAGGGCTTTGACCTTGCAAAGCAGGCGCTCTATTGCTTAAACCACTCCTCTAACCCATTTTACTGTGGTTATTTTGGAGATAGGGTCTTGAGAACTATTTGCCTGGGCTGGCCTCAAACCATGATCCTCCTGATCTTTGCCTCTCAAGTAGCTAGGATTACAGAAGTGAGGCATTGTGCCCAGCTAAGTCTCTATTTTTGCTAATGGGATATTTCGAGATTTTTCTATCTGAGGTCATGGCTAAGGGGAGGCAGGTGGGTATAGAGCAAAGATGACAGTTTGCAGGATTTGAAATGGTAGGGGACATGGGATCTTCTTGCATTATTTCTTATAACTGCACAAAAATCTACAATTATCTAAAAAAAAATTAAGGGAAGAGGAGAAACCTTTTGACAGCAGAATTCTTGGCTATCATTACCTTTAACCCCATGGTCCCTGAAGAAAGCACAGCTAGAATAAATTCTTTCTTTCTAGTTCTGTGCCTGGTCAAAATGAGTTTGGTCTCCAGCTCTTCCCTTTGCAGAGAGTTTAAGCTTCTGAAATGGGCTCAGTCCACTCCTCTCCAAGTCCAGTATGTGGAAGTTTCAAGAAACTTCCAATTTAAAGAAGCAAGTCCAAGCACTTTTATTATTGCCACCACAGTTGTAATAAAGCCACTTTATTTCTGAAAGCTGATTGGGAAAGAAAGCTCTTCTATGTACATTTTTCAGATAAAAAAGAAACACTTTAAAATTCCCACAATTCACCTTACAGGTACTGTTTCTTTGCTTGAGGACATTAGGGCCCAATCCCATAAGGATTCAGAGCGGTGCAGCCATTGTCCATGGGCTGAGTAGTCTTCTAAATGCTCCCTTTTCTAAGTGAGCTCATTAGTCTTATTAGTATTCCACGCTGCTTTTGTGACTTCAAGTGCCCATCCCTTATTACCTTCCCAAGTGACACCCAGACACCTACCAACCAGTCCCCCAAATATCTCTTTCTGGCCCAGGGACTCTCAAACTCAGGATCCCTTTACACACTTACAAACTGTCAAGGACCCCAAAGAACTTTGGTTTATGTGAGTTTGTTTATCTAGAGTTAGGTACTGTGTTTGAAATTAAAACTGAGAAATTAAAAATATTCAGTAGTTCATTTAAAAAGAGTAATAAACCCATGGCAGATTAATATAACTCACTAAATTTTTCAAAAGAAAGAAAAAGCATTAAGAGTGGCATTGTTTTTACAGTCTTGCAAATCTCTTTAGTATCTGACTTCATAGAAGATGGTTCGATTCTCCTATCTGCTTCTGCATTCAATTTGCGGTGAGATCACATGGTATGTAGCCTCTGCAGAACTTCACTGACACACGTGAGACTGACATAGTATTATTATAAGAATATTTTGACCTTGTGGGTCCCAAAAGAGCTTTGGAGACCCCTGTAGCCCACTGAGGTCCTTAGGCTGCACTTGGAAAACCATTGTACTGGCCTGATCTCTGGTGGTTTCAGTGGTGATGGTGACACTGTCTGGCAGTCCAGGTGACATTCACTAATTACTTCCTTCTGCATTCCCACTGTACCTCAACCTGCTAAGCTGTTTCCTTGAAGGGAAAGACTTAACTTTATCCATCTTTATAATCTGTATCTAAAACAGTATCTGGTCCACGGAGGTCAGCAGATTCAATTATTGTTACCATTTGGGTTTTTTTTTTTTTTTTCGTGGTACTAGGGTTTGAACTCGGCCTCACTCTTGCTAGAGCCACTCCACCAGCCTTTTTTTAATGTTGGGTTTTTTTTTTTTGAGCTAGAATCTTGAAAACTATTTGTCCAGGGCTGGCTTCAAACTGAATTCCTCTTGATTTCTGCCTCTGAAGTAGCTAGGATTACAGGTCTAAGCCATGGTGCCCAGCTTAGTGTTATCGATTTTTAAAGAGACTGTGCCTTGCTATGATGCCCATGTTGGTCCTGACCGTCCAGGCTGAAATGATCCTCATGCCCCAGACTCCTGAGTAGCTGGGTCTATAGGTATATGCCACTGTGCCTGGCTTAATATTATTTCTTAATTTAAATACTTGTTTTAACTATAAAGACAACATAACTAGATTATGGCTGTGTTGCAGAAAATGGAGACAAGAAAAGCCACTCCAGTGTCATTTCTTGAGTGTATTTTCTATCAGTCTTCTGATGTCTACGAAGAGCCTGATGCTCCCTTGTGTGGATAGAACACAATTTACTCACTAAATATCCAATATTCGCACATTCGGATGCTTCCATTTTTTTGTTGTAAGAAATCCAGTGATCCTGTGAAGAATACCTTCACACATCAAGCGTTTTTGGCACTTAGTGTTATTTCCTTAGAATTGATTCCCAGAAGTAAGATTACTGGGTCAAAAGATGCAGGCATTTTTATGGCTTTTAATACATACTGTAAAATTGCTTTTCAAAGGGTTATACTAATTTACAATGCCACCAGCACTTTCAAGACTGTTTCGGCACACAAATCGTCAACATAGGTGCCATTAAGGATGTTAATCGATAAAATATTGCACCCTAGTTGCTAAAATTTTGCATTTTTTGAGGCTCATAAAATTAAAATTTGTTGAAGAATGAGTGTACAATACAAAACATTCTTTTGGGACATCTTTATTTCTGGAAAACCTAAGAAATTCTCACTGGTGAAGACCAGAAAAAGAACACATGTTGTTAGGGCTGGCACAAAATTCACTTTGACAGTCAATCTTCATGCCAAAACACTTGAACGACGACTTTTCACTGGTTCTGCTAGCTGTCACTAACAGTAGCAAAAGGAAAAAAAACACCGGGGGTGGGGGGGGGAAGCAGAGGAATGCAACGGTCTCACTGCAAACCGTCCAAGGTTACAGACCCGGGCTGGAGCTCTGCTTTTCATTCAACTTTTCTCCTGCTGCTTTTTGGTTAAACTTTGAGATTTCAGCCCTGCTTTGTTTGCGGTGTTGCCTGCCCACGTGCAGCCCTGCCGGCACCGCGCCCCAGCAGGGTGTGCTGGGCCACCAGGGCGGGCGGCTTTCCGGAGCAGCTGTCCCCTCTGCTTTTAGGACCTCCCCCGGCGCCCTCGAAGCCCGGCTCGCGGAGGCGCAGAAATCTCGCACGGGCGCCGGAGCGGGTGCGGGAAAGCCACGCCGTGCAGCCCGGGCTGGCGGAGAGGAACGAAACTTGTCGCTCCCTGTCCTCCTAAGGTTCCGTTCGCGGCCTCATCCTGGGACAGGCATCTATGACTCATCGGCTCCGTCGGTCACATGGGCAACGTGACCGAAATAAAGTTTCAGTATTTTGAGCCGCTAGAAAAGAGGACATCAGACCACACCGGGGTGTGGGGAGGGCGGGAGCGGAAGGTGGACGCGGGCGGGCCGTGGGGACGCGGCGGCGCGAGCCGAGGGGGCGGGGCGCCGGTGACCGGGGGGGTGGTGGTGGTGGGGGGGGGGTGAGGGCGGGGCCTGGCGGCAGGCACGCGCCCTTCCCCCGCGGCAGGCAGCGACGCCCGGACTCTGGGCCGGACGACGCACTCCGGAGCGCGGCTCCCCAGCGCATCTCAGAGCCGAGGCCTCCCGGGATCGCTCCCCGCCGGCTTGGCAGGCTACGGGATCCCGGAGATTCCGGCGCGTCCGCCGCTGCCACCGGGACCCCACGCGCTGGCAGCGGCTTCCCCGGGAACGTCCTTCAGCCCCGGGAGCACGCGGGAAAAGCCCCAGCGCGCCAATGAGCGAGCGCCTTCCTCATGACGGTCACGCTCGGGGGCGGGGCTTCCCTCCGCTGCTCCCGAGTTCCGGGAACCCCCTTTGATTGGTCTGAAAGGCTTGGGAAACACTGTAGTGAAGTCCAATCAAAACGCCATGTCTCGGCCTCGAGGAAATATTCCGTGTCGGCCCCGTCTTGATTGGATTGGTCCTTCAGGCTCTGGCCATTGGGAAGCTTTGTTTAGGTTTGGAAGGCGGGCTTTCCTGGGAGTGGGTGGGGAGGGGGCGTTGATTATTGACCAATCCTTTCAGTCCGTTGGGTGGTGACCAGCCAATAGGCCGGATGGATAGGACGCTCCTCCCGGAGAGTAGTGAGACCCCTGGTGCGGGACGATTGGCGGCGGGAGGGATGAGTGGCAGCCACTCGGCCCAACGGACGTTGTGCGTGGGCCGCGGGGCGGGGCCAGGGCGGGTGCGCGGCGGCGGCGGGGTGGCTGGGCCGGCGGCGGCGGCGGTACGAGGCGCGCGCTCGGGGTCCCGGTCGCGAGGAGGAGGAGGATGTGGCGCGCGGAGGGGAAATGGCTGCCGAAAACAAGCCGGAAGGTAAGAGCCGGAGCGCGAGGGCCGGGAGGGGCGGCGCGGCAGACGGCGGGACCCGGCCCCGCCGGACATCCCGGGCATCGGCGGCGCCGGGCGGGAGCGCGGGGGCGCGGCGGGCGGGCGCCCCGGCCGGGGAGGGGGCCGGTGAGGCGGGGGGGGGCGGGGGGGGCGGAGCGCGGCCGAGTCCTGAGGTGACTCGCGGGTGGCGGAGCGCGGCGCCCCACACCCCACCCCCGGGGGCGGGCTGGGCTGGGGGAGCGGGGGGCGCGCGGGGCGGGGGCCGGGCCCAGCCAGGAGGAGGAGGAGCCGCGGAGGGCCGGCGCCTCCCCCACCCGGACCGGGCATCCCCGCCGCTCCCGAGCCCGCGGCAGCCGGAGCCCCCCGTGCCGGTCCGGGTGGGGGCCGCGGGGCGGAAAGTTTATCCGCTGCGGGCCCCTTGGCCCCGGCCGGGCTGCTCGGGCCGGTCCCCGTCGGGCGGCAGCGGCGACGCTCAGCCCTTTGCCGGCCGCCTGCTCCCGGCGGCGGGCAGGGCCGAACGTACTCTTCTCAGCCCCTTCGGCCCCGCGGCGCCTCCCAGGGCACACCGGGGTCCCCGCGCCGGTCCCCGCCAGGGGGACCCCGTCCTGCCGAGCGTCCCTGTGTCGAGGGCCTCGTGTGACCCCTCCCCCTCGCCTCCCGGGGAGGGAAGGGGGCCTGCGCAGCATCCCCGCCCCTCGCCGCCGGTTCATCCTACTCTTGCCCTTGCACCCTCTCAGCCTAGAGGGTGGGGTCTCCTTTGCCATGGCCAGTGAGGATCTCCACACTCCTTGCCCTTTACCTTCCGTGACCCCGATCCTCGCCTGGCACAGGGGTCCGCCAAAGCCTCTCCCCTTCCGTGGAATCTTTTGGGGCCTTTCTCTGCACTCTATTTGTTGACCCTTTTTGCCAGGACAAGGGGACTCGGGCTACCCCTGTTCCTTCCTCACCCAGTGGATCGTGGGGGCCTGCTCAGCTCTGAAGTCATTTCTAAATAGGAAAGCAGACACTTCTTCCAGATCATGTACACTCTGCGCACACTTTCCTGGGTTAGGGTGAGCTCATTTCCTGAATACCCTTTGAGTTGTCCTCTTTTTCTTGTGAAGAAAAGTGGACGTTCCAGTGCTCCTGTTCCCAGTGGTCTGTCTATCCTGATGTGTTCTCTGTCCTCGGAGTTCCCTGTCTGGGCGCCCAGTAAGATGTAGGACAGGGCTTCCATTGTGCCTAATACTCAAGTACAAAAGGACCACAATAATTACTCTCCTGTCGCAGGAAGACAAGGTTATATTTTTGTTTCCAGTTGACTTTTGTATCTTAGGGGGCACCCTTTACCAGTTGACACTGCCCCACTGGGAAAAGGATCATGTGCCCTTGGGTTTTGGTGTTCTGATTACTGTCTTCTGTGCAGTAAGAACCAGACTTTATTATCGTCCCACACTCAAGAGTCTTTGAACCTTTCTTGGAATTAAACTTCCCAATTCTTTTTTGAGAGAATTCAAATCCTCCTTATGGCTTCTGTTTCCCAGTCAGCCATATTTAGTGAGCCTGTTACCTTGACTTTTTGTAATTTTCTCAAATTGTATTCATGTTGGCTGGGTAAGAAGAAGCCATATGCCTTTCCATCCAGAATAGGGAGTATAGACACCCATGTCGCCCACGTTCCATTCGAGAAGAGGTAGCTTGTGTGCTCTCTGTTGTACTAGAACCTTCCTTTGGCCCTGGTGTTGTCTCTTGTGGGATCCAAACATTTCTTTAGATCTTGCACCTTTCAGGCAAAGGGAAAATTTGAATGCTTTCTATTTTTTGCTGTTCTAGTTCTCTTTTAGCAAAACAGATCTTCGTGATGCTATATGATTTGTTGACCCATACACCTTATAGGTCTGTGCGGATACATGAAATAATATTCCTTATATACACAGAGAAAGTTAGAATGGTGGGATGACTAGCTGTAGACATGGGGTGGGTGAGTGGGGAGTGTTACATACAAGAATAGAGGTATGTATTATGTTGCTGGTAACTCTTCCTGCTTAGAAAAATCAGAAGGAAAATCATTGATCAATGGCCAGTTCTCACCACTCTTTCATTTGCCTTTTGTACTGTCCTGAATAAGCAGAATGACATCCTGACTGTTCACCATGTCTCTGAATATGTGTAGAGTGCTTGCCAACGAACACCCAAACTTAGGCATTCTGAATTTAGGGGCAGTCTTCTCTGCTTGATTCTGCATAGGGTGAAAAGTTCTTATCTTGATTTCTTTACTGCAGTGTAGAAGAATGCAATTGTTTTGGGCAAATGATAGGAAATGGTTGAGAAGAATCTGTTTCTCTGACAGAACTAGGATCAAATGGCCATAAATACGTCCTTCTTGTATTGTGGCCAGTTAATAATTGAGAGAGGCTGTGAAGTTAGGAAAAGGTACATTTGGAGAGGCCTTTGCCACTCATGAAAGGGTGGAAGGATTTTTTTCAGGTCCTTCTCGGGGGGAAGAGAGTGGTGAGAGCCCTGTGGATTCTGGCTCTAGTCAGGTGTGTTGCTTCCCTGTATCAGGTACTCCTGCTGCTGTCGTTCAGCAGTTAAGTCTTACTCTGTGAAAGGCTTAGCGTGGAGACAAGCTCACTTGGGCTCCTGAGCACTGTGGCCTTTAAGCACATTCCTAGCAAGGAGGCTTTCTCCACCTTGATTCCTGAGTACTGAGATGTGGTTACCTGGAGGTTTGGTCAGCACTGGCTTTTCTTTGACTGCTGGACTTTGCCTTTCAGTTAAAATTTAGATGTCTAGTGGGCATAATACCCTTTGCCAGAAAGCAGAGCTTTTGACCTGATTTTCTTTTTGGGGGGTTTCTTAACATTTTTAAGTTGTTTTTATTCTGTATCTGTCATCAGCTTGATGGAGTTGTGTATTTTTAGGGGTAGTAATAGTGAGCCTTGGAAAAATCAAGAGTGGAATACCTGCTGTATATGTTGGTGTAGATCCAGGAGGGTCATCTCCTTTTTGGTGGTGACTGTTCCATGCTCTTCTCCAGGCCACCTACTGCATTTGGGCATCTTCCCTGCTAAGCAGGGTGCTTTGGACAGGAGCTGTGAGAGGAGAAGTGGTGAGGGTTGGCCAGAGGAACATGTTGGAGATTATTATGTAAAGTTAGGTTGTTCTTGAGCTTAATAGAGTTGTGCTTATTGTGGTAGAAGGTTGGAAGTCAGTCTGTTGTAACACAGCACCCTTCCCCCCAACTGCCAGAGCAAGGTGCTCTCATAGTTAGCCAGGCCACACTGGTCTCTTAATCACTTCTCTTTTTACATCCTCCTGTTAGAACATCATTCTTACCCTCTTTGACCCCCTCATCCCCTGTTTGGGTGACCTCTTCCCTTATCTTCTTGAAGACCTGACTTACCTGCTTGAGGGAAATTTTGGGTGTCTCCATCTCATCCTTCAGTGGATTCTGAATGTTGACATGTACACAGCAACCTCTCCTCAAGGTCAGATTTGGTCAGCTTTTCCTTTTCAAAAGAGTAGTTTTGCTCTTACTTGCCCTTGGAGGCGTATTTATGCATCCTGCTCAGCCACATTTTCTATATCTTTAGTTTTGAGGCTGTGGCAGTTTAGGCTTTTCCCCTGAAATAGCCCATTCTTCAGAGTTGGGTAGCTTTAGTTTAGTTCTCTGTTTATGCTAGATGTCTTGGTGGGATTTGAATTCTTTCTGACTGATTTTGAGGTAGTCCATTTTGTGGCTTAACAGTTTTTCCCACTGTTTTCATTACTTTGGCCATTCTTTATTTCCCATTTCTCTAGGTTTGGGGAACACCTCTTTGCGTGCAGTGGTACTTCTTTCTGACTTCATTATGGAAAAAACAGTGGAAGGTGATGCACATGTTCCCTTCCTTTCCTCCCATAGTTGTGCTGATTGCTTCTTTTGTGGTACCTTTGAACGTGCTCTTTGGGGAGAAGTCATTTTCATATCTGTGCTCCCATTACTGCAGCCATTCATTCAGGAGCCTTTCCTAGGATCTGTGGGGGCTATGTGACTTTGCTTGATACCATATTGGATCTTGTTAGCCTTTTAGTATGAATGACATTTCAGTGTATGTATCTTGTACTTAGCTTTAATAAAGTCTTATAAAATTTTTTCTGAATTTTAATTTTTTTGAGTTGTGATCTTACAAGAATATACTTTAATAGTGTACTATCCCATTGAGCTTTTCCTATTCTTGCAGGAGTGGGAGTGGTGAAGAGGGTAGAGCGTATACTGGGAGAGGCATTAACAGCTTCCTTCCAGACTCTGTGCGCACTTGCAGAAAAAAGTAAAGTCAACCTTCTTAGTGTGATTGTCTAGACATAAACTTTTAGGTTATTTAGATACAGAATTGGCTGGAATGCTTATTAAACATTTGAACAGCTGCATTGAACTAGGTATTGTATAGAACTCATTCTTCATATAAGGCAGTGGTAGAAAAATACTTTTCTGATTACCTGGTATGGTTCGTATTATCAGATAGAAAGAACTAACTGAGCTGCTGTTACATTTTTGCTATCAGAAAGTGTTATGTCTAATGTCTAAGCCTGGTGACATTCTTAGGCTAGATAGATGATACATTTATCACTATTTTGTTTATTATGTGACTTTTGATACTTTATACTTTCTAATAACACTGTTAATTTGTATTTTTCTTTTTCTTTTTTGGTAAATAGCCTCAGATTGCTTTTGGATACAGGTTAGGCTGCAGGTATAAATAATGATATAATAAAAATTAATCTGAAGTATGCCTTTTCTTTATTTAAAATCACATTTTCTGCTCCCATAATGTATATAGAAGTCAGATTTTCTAAACTTTCACTCCTGTGAAAACCCTTGTGTAGGACTGTTAAGAGTATGTGGTTGGTAGTTTCCTTTGTTCCTGTGAATTTGGAACTAAATTTTTTTTTTTTGTGGTGACAAGTGATGTGTATTTTTTTTTTTCTTTTCCATTATACCAATCATTTTTACTATTTATTTT